ATTCATACTATATGTATAGCTTACAATTGTTTAATAAAGCACATATAACTAGCCTGACAGAGGGTTTAAAAAAAAAATATTATTTTTGATTATATTAATAAATTTATTAGATAATAAAAAAATTTATTTTGCTGATCCTTTAATAATATATAAAAAAAGATGTTTATCAAAAGTTTTTATACTTATTTGCTAATAAAGTTTTAATTTTTTTTTTAAAACAAATTGAAGTATAATTTCAAAAGTTGTTTCTATACTTTTTCTTTTGTTTACAAACCTTTTTATTTAAAATTTTGATTTTTAATTATTAAGTAAAGTCAAGTAATCTCTTTGATATCAATGGTGAAAAAGTTTTCAAAGAAGAATTAAATATAAAGTATTTAAAGGTCTGTCAAACCTTTGAAGTAAAAGATTTATAAAGGTTTTTTGCAATAAAAAAGATTATTTTTTCTTTTTTTTGATTCTTGGAACTTTTACTTTCATGGTTTTTTAGGGAATTTTATTTACTTTAGTTTGATTCTGAATTTTGGATAACATAAATTTTTACCAAAGATGATTAATTAATATAAAACATACTAGTTTTTAAAATATAAATAGTTTTTATTGATCACATTTATATATTTTAATAATATTTTTAGTGATTAAAAAGAATATTTCAGAAATATTTGTCTTTAAAAGCTCAAGTCCCTTAATAAAGACTTCTATAATATTAAAAAATCAAATGATGGATAATGTGAATTGCAAACTTTTATTTTTTATTTAAATTCTTTAGATGGTAACAAAAGTTAAATAAAAAAAGCTGAGGTCTAAATGTTTTTCTTGAGATATCTCAATTTAATGTTTACTTAAATAATAGATCAATTGGATTAATTTATCAAATACTGCAAGTAATGAAAAAAAATATTTCTTCCAAGGTTCAAATAAAGCAAGAAGACTATTTTAATCAGATAGATTCCTTTTGAGAAGAGATTATTTTTATTTTTAAACTTTTTGATAGACCTTGAATTGTTTGTTTCCTCAAATTGTTTTTTTTGATTTCTCTTTTTTAATTTAACAATTCATTGATTTTCAGGTCAATTAATAGTGATAAACTATTAGCAATAATTCTGATAGATAAAAATCATAATCAATTTATTAGGAAAATGTAATATTGTTTCTAAAATCTGATTTAAAGTACTTATATATAAAGATTGGTTATTTTATGAAAATTTATAAACTATTATAAATTTTATTTTAATTTATTAATAAAAAAAGTTATTATGACATGATTGTGGGATAAAAAAATTTTTATTAAATAATATATTGTATATATTATTGGGAGAAAATGTATTGATAACTTATAATATATTTATAGATATATTTTGTTTTTAAAATAAATTTGTTTTTTCTTAAGAGTCTGATTATTTTGATATGATATATGTTAATCAGATTAATATTATTTTAGAAGCAATTGTTTTATTTTCTCCTTCTTATTTCTAATTGCTTTTATATTTTCTTTTTAATTGAATTTATTTTGTTATTTAGTTTATTAAGTTTATAAAAAAACTGGTTATATTAATTTAACCATTTTTACTTTAGAGTATAAACTTTCAGATCCATTAAAATATATATAATTAGTTTAATAGTGAATTACAAAAAATTCATTAATTTTTTCAAATTTTTCGTTATTTAAACTAAACTACATACATCAATAAAATATTAATTATACATTTTTGCATATGATTACTTAAAATAATATGGATATATATAATTCTGAATAATAAATTAAAAATGCTAACCGAATTTTAAGGCTAAAATAATTTGAAATAAAATAATATATATAATAAACAAATAAAATTTTTATTTAGATAAATAGTTGATAATTTAATTAAAATACACAATAATTATTTTAAAAAAGGGTTATTTTTAAAAAAAAATAATACGTACAATATTGAATAAAAACAATCGTGCAACTGCAATGTGATATGCTATTGCCTTTTGTACTAGCGCATTTAGGTTTCGGGCGGGATTGAGATAAGCCGTGGAAAAATCATTCAACGACCCGAATAATATCCAAAAAACTTTAAATACGAGTTGTCAATTAGGAAATTGTCATTTTAGTAACGGTTTGTATCCGATTTAAAAAGATTGTGACCCTCACATTATTTGTATGACAGCATTAGAAGTAAATATTAAATTTACCATTTCGATCATAGGAGAATTGTACAGATTTGAAATCTTTATACTGTATGAATGGTCTAGTCAGTCAATTTCCTGAAATAGGCTTTCCCCTTTAACTCACTACTTCTCTTTTTAGAAATGATCGGAGGAGCTTGACGTTCAACAAAGAGAGCACTTTGATCTCACCAAAGTGCATTTCTAATAGCATACTTCCTAATGATTACTGTTACATAAGCCAAGCTTGACCTTTCTTCATAGCTTGACATAATATTATGTTTCTTTCTTCCGAATTTAATCACGTTCTAATAACAATGGAACGGACGCATCATTCTTTATTTATTATTGATGCCGTGACCGCTTTTAAAAAACGATTCTTTTTTAAAAATTGCCACATGTGTATTATAGGAATAATACAGTAGTAAACACATTTATTAAAGTAAACATACGAAAGATACTTTTTTGTGGTCGCAAAGTTATACAGAGGTGGTACGAGTGATCTCCTGTCGTAGCGCGAAATTATAACCGGAACCAAATTTCTTCCAGTGTATCCAAATGGAGTAATTATTTGTTAAATGGTCTCATCATTCCTCCGGCATTCGTGCTGCAACGTGATCATTACGTAATCAATTGTGGAGTACATGAATACTTTGCACATACAGTATAAAAAGAAGCATACATGAAGCTCGTTGAAAGAATCTTTCGGACAGTATAGTCCTAATTTTTTTCTTTTTTTTTTTTTTTTTTTACTTTCACTGACCCATCATAAGAAGACTGTCAAAAAAAAAAAAAAAAAAAAAAACGATATACTCTCTTTCAAAAGTCACCGGTTTTCTTCGAGTGATTGGGCATAAAAATTACCTTTTTAAAGAACATTGCGGTCGTTTTTTTCACCGAGCCATGTTCAGCGAAGATCTAGGCGGAACCAAAAGACGTCGGGTGGCCAGGGCTTGTGATATTTGTAGGAAAAAAAAAGTTCGTTGTGACGGCGTTCAACCCGCGTCTGATCCACCATCATGTACTAATTGCAAACTATATGGACATGAATGGTATTCAGTCCATCATTTTGTTGAATTTGAGAGAAGTCGTGCTTGGAACATGCGTATTTAAATCACTACCATTAATACCATTGTAGTTCTTTTATTGATGCACCCAAAAAAAGAGGACCACCAAAGGGTTACGTCGAAGCATTAGAAACAAGGCTTCAACGAATGGAGTCCATTATTAGCGCATTGGCACAATCCGGGAAATTGAACAAGAATGCAGTATCTTTATCCCCTGCGAGGACTAATGATCTTTCATCACCCGACTCTCAGCCTACGTCCTTGGAAAGTTTTCACAATTCACCTTATGTCAGCGGGACGGATGAAGAATCATCTGGGGAAAGCAACGAATCGCAAAGTGATGTGAGTGAAGGTGGTCACCTTACAATGGACAAAGCGGGTCATACAAGATACGTTGGGTGTAGTTCTGGTATTTTCCTGCTTAAGTATGCCAAAAAGATCGTTGATCATCAAGTAACTGTCGTCTGTGATGATTTTCACCCGCCAAAAAGGTTATCCAACCGAGATATCATCTCAGAGCTTCCTCCAAAAAATGTGTGCGATCAATTGTTAGACCTATTCTGGGAAAAATTTTCCTTTTATCATCCTTTCATAGATAGACAAGATTTCATGGAGAAATACGATAGCATGAATATCAATTATAATTACATAGTACTCCTCTACGCTATTCTGGCCGTTGTGTCTAACAACATTGCTAGTGTTTCTTTCAGTACAGGTATTGTCATTTTTATGATTACATGATTTACAATGGTCATTGTCACTTATATCTCGATACATTTAAAGGTGTGAATTATTACGATCGTACAAGAGAATTGCTTGGTGAGGAGCTTGGTAATTCAACTTTACCAACCGTTCAAGCCCTTTTATTACTTGCGGGACTTCAAAAAGGCATGCGTAGTTCTAGTTGCTGGGTATATGTGGGTCTGGCTATTCGTTTGGCTCAAGACATGGGGCTACATCGTGATTCGTCAAATTGGGATCTTGATAAAAGTCAGGCAGAGGTTAGAAGACGTGTGTGGTGGGCATGTGTTACGTTCGATAGTTTTTTAAGCCTTGCCTTAGGTCGACCACTTGCAATTAATGAGCAAGATTATGATGTTCGCTATCCTGCGGCTGGAATATTGTTTTACGATCAACCGGAATCTATTGAAGTATTCGTTCAACATATCAAGATTTGTTTAATCACTTGTCGCATATCTAAGCACGTCTATGGCATCGATTCTAAACGAACGGGCGGTAATAATTCGATCCTGTCGACTTTGGATGCAGAGTTGAACGAGTGGCGCGATAATCTACCGACTCGATTTCAATACGATCGTTTTAAAAAATTATCTGATGATCCTCATAGCATAACGCCTATATTATTTAATTTGGCATTTTATTCGATTCAAATAATCTTACATCGCCCATATATTCGATGCCCAAAATCTAAAGCGCCACCGTCGTCTATTCCTTCACTTACAATATGCACCGTGGCTGCCAGCAGCATCACCCATCTCATGTATCGATTGATGAAAAATGGCATCCTGAGCCACGGATGGAGATATGCGCATCATGCTTTCTTTACCGCTGTGACAATGCATATCATCAATGTTCTGAGCGATGACGAACGGTTCAGAGAGGTAGCAAAACAGGGTTTGAGGATGAGCGTGAAATGCCTGGAACATTTGAAATCTTATTTAAAGGAGGCAGAAAGGTTTTTATTCATATTAAAGGATCTGTTGAAATTTAAGAATATTAATCTCGACGGCTCTGATGATAAAATTCCGAATAAGAACGCATCGGAAACAGAAGGAAAAGGTTCCGTAAATGATGATAAATATCAACACAGAACGTTGTTATGTCATTTGGATGATGCTGGAGCCATCTCATACGATAAACCGTTGGAAATGCCTCGAGTCACTTTTGCACCACCATCACCACAACCGATTGCTCAAGAACAAAGCAGTAGAGCCAGTAATAATGCGATGAGTTACGAAATTACATCTTCAGAAGAATCATTGGCGTTCATTCCATCTACACAATTCAATGAAAGCAACGGATTTAACGGATTCAACGAACTATTCCCTCAAAATGCCGATGCGTTCATCCCCGAGACGTCATCATTATTGTTCGATGATGGAAGCAATCATTATAGTTTGTTGTTCCCGAATACAGTTGATTTGATGGAATGGTCAAATTGGACGGAATATATGCTAAAATTGCAACTTTCAAGGAATAACCTACAACAATGATCCATGCATCAAAGAATTATGTACAGAAAATTTCTTCTCTTTTGTCATGTATTATTTTTTCTACAAACGTTTTTTATATAAAAATTTTTTACTTTCGTCAAGACGGTGAAATATAAGGATCGAATATGCATCATCATTCTGTGCGTGTTAAAAAATAAGTAATATCCAAGGTAAGTATTACGATAAAGTCAACCAGAGTGATCCATTTGAATTCACTCATCATATTCTCGTGTTATATCGAGAAATGCAGAAAGGCAATTTTAAATTGCTCTTCGCTTAATAATAATGCAGTACATACATTTTTAATACTGTAGGCGTTTCTCGCGGAGAATTGTAAGAGAGTGCGTTTTTAAACCACATCGATGTCATCACACGTCTTTTTTCCGCCGACCCATAAACGCACATGCGCTTATGTATCAGTGTAACAGTTTCTGCAATTATTAAACAAAAATTCAATCAAAGTTAATTTTTCCCCGGTCACTATTAGGCTAAATTTTCACGCTAACTGAAATTATCAATATACAGTAGATGGTAGATATTTATTTATTTTTAAAAAAAAAAGAATCGTTGTAAATTAATCAAGATTTATTTATTCTTGCAAAATTTTAAACTTTAATAATCTTCATACGCAGTACGTAGGACTAGAGCTCATTATTTAATAATAAAATTTATCCACTCTTTATTATAAAAATATTGTGCATGCATTACTTTTCTAAGAAAACCGTTCGATATCGATTTTCCATACATCGACAAGCCGCATCAATATTACATGCGTATGTTGATTTTCTGGTAATCTCTTCGAGTAATTGTTTTTAGAGAAATTCTTAACCGCACTTTGGCATCTCCGTTCTGTAACGAAGGACTTAAGAAATGTGGTGCGTGTTACCATATCCACCCACCCGTCTTACGAGATACAGTAGAATGACCTATACGTACTGCACGTATATAAAAGCTAAATACGTGCGTATTCCGTAATACATTTTAGCGCAAACCTGAATTTCGTCAAGAACGCATACATTACGTATACTGTACGTATTATGAATCTAGAAATTACTTTAAATTCTAATAGCACTTTTTGGCCATTATTTCAAAAAATAACTTAAGTTCGAAACTTGCACCGATAATAATTTATCTGAATATAATAAGCTTTCTGATAATGGATTATTTGAATATGAAACATCAGAAACATCAATTACTGATAACTGCTTATGACCATAATATATCAGAATGTAATGTAACAGAAGCTTTACCTAACACCAGTTTCACGATTCACAATACCTTAATAAGTGCGTCCCCGTAATGGTTTGTGTTGACCTAATACATCAGAAAATATCTCTATCAATTTACACATTCCGGGATGCAATATACCAGAAACGTTATCTAAAGATATTTTTTATACACAAGTAACTTTTAAAACATCTTTTAATAATGATTCTTCCCCCAAAGTAACTTTTTAAGTGTTCACTAAGTCCAGTAGAAAGCATGAATTTAAAAGAATCGGAAGGTGTCTTAAATGCAATTATAGAAAAATTATTTCGGAAAATCTTAAAAAAAATTTGTCATTTTTGTCGTATCCAACATTAATTCTAGTTTATAACGGTAACAAGTATATTAACTACCTTATTAAAGGAACATAAAAAGAAGTTCAATCCAAGCAATTATTATGGATTCCACATAAAAATTTAAATGTGGATAAACAATTAGGTCAAGGTGGATTTGGTAAAATATTATAAGTAAACTGGAATCTCGTTACGGTAACGTAGAACAGTGATTAAAAATGAAATTTTAAGAGAGATAATTTACATTTATACCATTAAAAATGTTTACATATCTATGTTTATTGATTTTTAAATTATCATTTGCATAGCTGCAGTACTGTACGTATACCAATGCAATCGTGCTAGTAACATTGCTCAGTGTTAGGAGATCCATGATCTAAAAATTACGTACATACATACGTACGTATTGCAAACTCGGCTATTTACATAATTCAGTGTATACAGCAAAAATTTTAATATAAAAGAATATAATTTTATCAGATATTACTCGAGGAATGAGGGCAATTAATCAAAATAATTATTCACCGAGAATTACATAGGGGCAAGATATTACGCATGTAAAGAAGGGACTGGTACCTTGAATAATCCCATAAATATATCAGATCTAGGACTCAGTTGCTCTGCTACGGAATTGGAAAATCTACTTAAACCAAAAATATATATACGGAGTTATGCCGTATATTGCCCGTAAGGTTTTTCAAGGAAACCGTTTTCTTACGCCCCGGATATACATACTATATTGTTTGGGCATTATAATGCATCAATTGACATCAGGAATCCGATCATTTTACGATCGAGCACATAACATATATCATCTTACGGTTGACAATTGTAACGGATTGCTCGATCAAGTAAAAAAAAATTAGAAAATTTTTTAAATATATCGGGTAGATTGGCTTTTATTCTTAATAATATAAATCGATGAATCTGAAAAAAACGTAAACAAATGATCGAATCAAGAATTCATCCATCGTGTGGTGCTAAGAATGAGCATCCGAATTCTAATTATCCTAGTAGCTCATTAAATTTGGCAATAGCCACAATCAAATCTCTCTATTTAAATAGACCCATAGGTAAGGAAAATTACATTACTTATTAGCGAAATATTAATGCTTAATATGCGTATTATCCAAAACGGGGACCGAAAAAATCGTGTCATAAATTAGGATAATAGAATAACCACTCAATTTAGATAGACTTATAGGTAAGGAAAATTGCATTTCTTATTAGCGAAATACTAATGATTAATTTTTTTTTTTTTTTTTTTTTAACCCGCAGTCAGGTCAGCATGGCTTGTCTTTATTGTATATATATCAGATATTTAC